TCTCCGCCATTATGGGATGGGGAAAACCCTAAATTGGGTTGGGGAGGAAGGAGGAAGAAGGGTTGGGTAGGGTAGGGTTGGGTCATGGTTTGGGTTGGGTTGGTTTTAATGAGGTGGCGGGTTATAATGACGTGGCGGGTCGGGTTTTATTTTTGTTGGGTTATATCCGGCTGATTAGGCAATTCTGTTTGCCACATTAGCACCTAACGGACTTCAGTAACGGAGTTGGACGGAGACTAACGGCGAGTGACTAAATGCGTCCAGTTTTAGTAATTGTAGTGACCAAATTTGATATTAATTTTTTCTAGTGACTAAACATGTCCCGATTTTGTAATCTCAGTGACCAAATGTGTCTTTAACCCCTTTTCAAAATGAGACTTTTGTACCAAATTGCCTCATTTTGGAAAAGATTCATCCAAACGAATAACGGGCCGTTTTTCTTCTAGGGAACATTTACAACCATCTCCCTCGGCCTGTACCCAGCTCTGCTTGGGCCAGCCTTCAAGGCCCAATACCATGCAACTGGTGTGCAAATTCTTGCATGCATATGGGTGAGGAAATTTACACAAATTGTACCGTTTGGAATGGATAGTGGGATTTAGGGATGAACATGGGTCGGGTGGGTTGGTTTTGGACTACTTTGATCACCCAACCCGTGTTTGTCGGTTTTAAAAAAATTTAACCCGCACCCACCCGTAAAAATTCAGACCCTGTCGGTTTGATGTCCATTGGGTCGGTTTGTTTAGATTATTAAACAGTCAAAAATCCGAACCGCACAACTCATAGGAAAGATCAGATTTCCAGAAGGCTGGAGGTAGATCAGATCTGAAGTTTGCGGCGAAATTCAGTTCTAGAAGCAAAAGAAACTTCAAGAAAGAGGCCAACGACAGCGATCTCGCATATAAAAAAAAATATCCAATCATATAAACTATCGCAAAAATCAAAATCCTTGAAGTAGAAGGGCAAAAAATCTAAAATTACCAACTGCATGCAGTCGACATTGTTGCCTCTTCCATATTAACTATGAAACCCAAAATCAAAATCATCAAATCAAAGGCAATATGGGTTCAAGTTTAAAACATCAAGCGAAGATAAAGAGGATCTAGTTGAAATCAAATAACAAAATCATCAAATCAAATGCGATATTGGGGCACAGATCTCATCCTGGAGTAGCCTCAAAGCAAAATAAGATAATGTCTTGACTCTTGACACCCTCTCCAGCGGTCAAGATGAAACAGAGGATAATTGTAGATAAGAATAGCAAATTGTGGGTAAAAAAATTAGCCACCGAGAGAAATAGAGATTGGTAGAGGAAGGGGAAGAGATGGGGGAGGCGGGACATCGGACGTGGGAGAGAGAAATCCTAGGTTAAATAAGTTATATACACAACCAGAAGCCTGTGCGTTTTGTTGATATATTGGTGATGGGCTGGGTCGGGTTATTCGGCTTTTAAAAAGCCCAACCCGCGACCAACCCACAAGTCAGTGGGTCTTCATTTCAGGACCCTAACCCACCCATTTAATTTAGTTACCCGCAGGTTTCGGGTTGGTTCGGGTTGGATGGCACGGGTGGGTCGGTTTTCGGGTCACTTTGTTCACCCCTAGTGGGATTGTAAAATGTAGGTGAGTCATTCTTGGCGATTTACCAATTTAGCCTACCCACCACCCACCCACGACCACAATCCACATACATAATAGCTTTTTCCTCACCCCTCTGCTCACCCACCAATTTCCCCTTCTTCTCTCCCCCCTACTCGTTTTCCGGCCTACAGACGCCAATTCCAGCTTTCGAATGTCCTCTTGGACAAAGTCAAGCGAGGCCACGAGTGGTTTAACGCTCTCCTGTTGGATTAAATCTAGAATTAGGTTGATTAGAGGAGTGGAAGGACTCTGGCTAGGGAAATTTGGGATAGGTTCGATTTGGGAGATGATATCGACGAGGGTGAGGGAGACGTCACCATTGACTTCAAGGAAAGCGCTGACAAAGCTCCTGAGTAGTGAGCACAAGGAATGGCATCCCGCTGCTATGCACAACCATTAAATGGCGATTTTTTCTTCTTCTTCTTCTTCTTCTCGAACTCCACAGGAAACAAACCCAGTATTCATCTCCATCTATTTGTTGCCTCTTTGGAATCAATTATTGTTGTTGCATGCCGAAAAACCATAGCTTATCGTCGATGATGGGTTGGTCTTCATTGGTTCCTTAGCTTCACCATTAAACGAAAGAGAATGCCAATAAATGGGAAAAGGAAAAAAGAGGAAAGAGAAAGAAAAAGGGTTATATTGGGAAAGGGGAAGGATAAAACGAGACAATTGCAATTGCTCCATAACGGAACCATCTGAATTCCCCGACGTACAATTGTCTCGTTCTCATTTTATTTTGCCAAATGAGTCAATTTGTCTCAAAATGAGTCAATTGGGTACAATTGCTCCATCACATTGCTTCATCCAAACGACCCCATAATCATCTATGACGGGAGTATTAGTTACTGTCTTACTTTTTTTAGCGATAGAATAGAGTAGAAATCGGTATGATATCGGTATTTCAATATCAAATTTCGAAATTTCAAATATCAAATTACACCCTAAAATCAATTCGCCCACAAGGTGCAGTATTTCATCAAAGTAGAAATAGCAGAGGAGGGGGGGGGTTCTATCAAAAAAAGGCATCAAGCTTTGTAAAAGCATGCTGGTTAATGAAGTTGCACTTAGCACAATTATTATGTTGGGCACAGCATAAAAATTGTGCTAAGTTTAGATGGCGTATTGGATCTGGACCACAATATTGGGCCCGCAAATTCTCGTTTGTGGGTGGCCGTGATTGGATCTGAGGACCACAAAGAACGGACTCGGGCCTAGAGGGCGTTTCTAAAGTGAACTCTATAAAATTAAGAACATGTACCAAAAAGGGATAGAAGGTGAAAAAAGTGGCTGCCTAACGTCATAACTATTACCCCAAAACTGTACCACTAGAAATTAAATAGCTGCTATCTATCTATCAGGAGTCAGGACCATGTTTGACTGTCCGGCTCGAAAAGGGCCCAACATACATATTCTGTTTTTGTATCACCATTAGCTTGAACCAAGATAGATGCTATAAGAAAACACATTGCAATTTGGGTGAAAAAACCAACCAACTAAAGTATTTTCAGCAAAATCAGTTCTACGGATAAGACCGACCTTTCATATCGGTCAGATTGGAATTAACGGGATTTTGGATAAAAAATTCAAATACAAGAGCGAGTTTGATATTTCGTTATAAGTGGTGAGATCATTTTAATACGAATTGTTGTAAATAAACACATCAAGAAAGAATATGAAAGTAAAGTGGCAGATTATAGTAATAACTAGGGTTAATACCCCAGTTTGACCCGAAGTTTAGCATAAGTGACAATCCTGGCCTCAATTTTTAAATAAGACATTTATGACCCAATTTTAAAATTATTGGACAAATTTGGCCCGGAATTTGGGTTGACCGTTAAATTTGACGGTCAACCTTTTATTCCATCCATGACTAGCATTTAGTGGTGACATGTCTTCCACGTCATTTATAAAAAAAACTTATGTCAGCCATATTTTTTTACATGTCTAATTTATTATAATGTCAAATTTTATTAAATATTTAAATACTAAAAATATAAAATTTCATTATGGACCTAATTCTCTTCCCCGACAAAACCCTCGATCATCAACCATCCCTTCGCCGCTTCTGTTTCTTATTCCCTGAGACTGATTCTGCCTTTACTTTCCCCCTAGTTCTAATGTTCCATTCATTCTCTACTTTCAATAATACAACTCACATGAATCCAAATCAATTTCAATAAAAAAATTCACCTTTCCTTAATCGTTCTCCAATCTCAGATCTTGAGCAAGCAGTAAAGTGCGACTGCCGATTTCCTGGGTTCTCGACTTGAATACTTTGCGGAAGAAGTTTGAACGGCAGGAATCAAAAAAGGACGAGATCTGGAGTTGAAAAAGGAAGGGATATTAGTTAGAGATGACGAAGTAGAGATGATGTAGCTTCAGATCTCGCGGTGACGTAGCTTCAGATGTTGCGGCGGCGATGTAGCTTTAGATCTCGCGGTGGCTCGCCTCATACGCGATTTCAGAGGACCCGTTCTCAGGTTTATAACCAATTCGTTCTTCTGATTTATGTATTTCCAACCCAGAACCCTCTATAATCCAGATTCCTTCCTCTGCGGACCCAGAGCAAGAAGAAAGACCATCGAGCTCCATCACCATAATCAATAGTCATCTTCAATGGTCAATCGCCACCGTCAATGCGCATAAGCTCAGCTGCGCCTTCTTCCCACCGGTGGCCCCTGCATCTTGTCATCTTCAATAGTCAATCGTCATCGTCGTTGGGGTCCCTGCTTGCTTCAACACCACCGTCGGCAAGATGATATTGGTCTTCCTCTTCCCTTGTTCTTTGATTACCTTGTCGGAGGAGGAAGCAGGAGTCTAAATCGTGGGCCTTTTGGAGTGTTAGGAGTGAAGAGAAGAAAATTAGGGATTTTGCTTGAGGTCTTCGATTTTTTTTTTTAATTTGTTGCTTTGTTTCATTTTGTTTTCAAATTTTTTCAGAAAATTAAATAAATCATTATTTATTGACGTGGCCCAGCCACATCAGCAATTTTTGCTGAGTCATTAATGGTGAGAATGTTTGACCGTCAGTTTTAACGGTCAACTCAAACGTCGGGCTAAATTCGTCCAATAATTTCAAAAGTAGGCCACAAATGTCTTATTTAAAAAATGGGGGCAAAACTGTCATTTACGCTAAACTTTGGGCCAAATTAGGGTATTAACCCTAATAACTAATAATAAGTAATAACCATTTTCTGAAGTAAGAAAAAAAATATTCCTTTTGCTTTTCTTTCTAAGCAATGGGTGGAGTAGGAAATAGGAATCCATTAAATGCCACTGGGCCCAATTGAACGAAGCCCAAGACGGCGAATATGCTTCCAACCGCTAGCATAGGTCACTCGCATCAGAGCGCGTGCATATCGTTTCCCTACGGAAAGGACAAATACCCAGAGCATCATTTCTTGCGCAGCTGAAAGAAACTCATCAGGACACTCAAGACGCCTATGGCCAACGACATCGACGCCGAGTTTCCTCCCCAAAGTTTCTGCGATTCGCCTAGTTTGCTTCCTCTCCTTTCCGATCCTCACGCTGGTCCAAGTCTCTGAAACAGGTCGGTCAGTTCACTGTGAAGTTCCATCCATGAATTCGAACGATTTCTGTTTGGGAAGGGGGCGTTTGCCAGTGTTTGATTCCAATTTACCTTCTTTTGGGTGTTCTAGAGAGAAATACGAAGTGGGTTAGTAGTTTCCGAGTAAGAACTGCTTTATCTGGTAGAGGTGCTGAATCGTTAGCGAATTTGGGGGATGTTTGACTTGATAGATTGAACTCTCATTGAGGTTTATTGTTCTGGCTGGAGTAGGGAAACTTCATTCCCTAATCTACTGGGTTCTTATTAGAGCTTCCAGTATAGTGAAAGGCTGGTGCTGAGAAAATTGCGCCATGGGAACTGTGTGTGTGAAATGTAAAGGGCTTGAAATGATTATCAGTTGAAATTGACATGTCCGTTAGATTTGTGTAGGATTAGTTAGGTATTCGTTGCCCCGTCTTCTTTCTAAGAATTTTGTAGTGTCTGGTGGACATAGTGTTTGCTGCTGTTTATTCTGATTTATCCTTTCTATTGAAATTGTACTTTTGATAAGAATTGTCTTAAGCAATGGGTGATGCAATTGATTTAACCGGCGATGGAGGTGTCATGAAGAAGATTGTAAGGCGTGCAAAAGCCGATGCAGTTGAGCCTTCAGAGGATCTTCCTCTTGTTGATGGTAAGCTTGCTACTGTTGGAGTTGAATAGACTTTTGTTCACGGAAATTTTCTTCGTCTTCTTTTATCTCTGCATAACTTTTAGGGTATGAGAACACTCCACTTTTGTTAAGTTGATATGAAGATTTGTTTGATGTTGTATCTTGAGAAACCAGGAATGAGGTCTAGTCGTTTCTCCTTCTTTCTGGCTGATGGAAGTGATCCCCAAAGGGTACATTTGCATAATCTTGTGTACTGATTAGCTGTAAACTAAGATCTCCATCTCTTCTTCCTTGTGCAGTTCATTATGAGGGGACATTGGCCGATACCGGGGAAGTCTTCGACACCACACATGAAGACAACACCATCTTCTCATTCGAAATAGGAAGTGGCTCGGTGATTCGGGCATGGGATGTTGCATTGAGAACTATGAAGGTATAGTTATGTTGAAATGTTGTTCTCTTTGCTGAAAAAAATCTGACTTCCCCGTTTGTGTGTTCACAAAATTTTCTTCTACTGATTTCCAGGTGGGGGAAGTTGCAAAGATCACTTGCAAGCCAGAGTACGCCTATGGCAGAGCAGGCTCTCCACCAGATATTCCACCAGAGTAATGCTATAGCTATACAGTCCACACAGAAACTATCTAGCCAGGTAAATCGTGAGATGAATCTAGTTTCTGATGAGGCACCTTTTTTTTCTTCTCCCATTGTTGCAGTGCAATTCTTGTTTTTGAGGTGGAGCTTGTGGCTTGCCGTCCTCGCAAAGGTTCCAGCATGAGCAGTGTTTCGCAGGAGAGAGCTAGGCTAGAGTAAGCAAGCAGCGTATTATTCTTACACCTTCCCCCAAATTGTATCCACAAAGTTTTGTTTATTGATCGGTGGTAATACACTTCCAAATTCAGGGAGCTGAAGAAGCAAAGGGAGATGGCAGCTGCGGTCAAAGAGGAAGAGAAGAAGAAGCGAGAAGAAGCCAAAGCTGCAGCCGCTGCTCGCATTCAGGCCAAACTAGATGCAAAGAAGGGCGGAGGGAAGGGTAAAGGGAAGTCTAAGAAGGATATGTTCCCTCTTCCTTCCCAGTTTTAGTTCATCTCTATTGTTGTATTTCGAATCTCAAGTGTAGTTGTCGACTCACTTAGAGCAAGCATTCGCGTCAATAAATTACCAGTAACTGTACTACCAGATCGTTCAAGTATGATATCATTTTGAATTCACAGTAGAAGTATGAAGATACTATAATAACGGTGATTTTCGATTGCCAACTTCCCGATTAATCTAAATTACAAAATGTTGTGATGTTACTAAATACATCAATCCGCACCCTTTCTGCAGCGTGCCCTAATCTGAGGGAAAGATTTACCTCGGTGTTAGGCACAGACACAGTAACTATTCAATCAGACCTTCCATCTTTGTTCAATAGGAACTCCAGTGAACTCTTTCTCTTTACATCCTTTGGAGGGGTAGACTGAGTCAATTGATGCAGAGGTTAAAAGTTAAACCATGTATGCAGCATCCAGATTTTGTCCATTTTCAGGCCAGCTAGATCCTGCCCTGTATTTGCAAACTGGGCATGTTCCCTGTTGCCTCAACCATGGGTCAATACAAATGGCATGGAACTGCAGGAAAAAAAAACAAATTAATCATGTGTTTTAAGCATTAGGCCACGGTATTGACTACGTCGAAAGAAGCCATTCGTAAACTGAATGAAGCACAGCTTGGGACAGGACCTGGTGCAAGCATGGGAGGGTACGTAAGACTTCTCCAACATCCACTTGCTCCAAGCATACACTGCAAGTAAGTTCATCTTCTGAAGCCTTCAAGGTACCAATCCCATGGGATGTCTCCTGATGCTTCTTTGGCTAGAGAGCAAAAGTAACACATGAAACGAATATTCAACACTGCTGATGACTAAAATGAGCTGCAACTAAATTTTTCCTATGCTAAAGTGGGTTGAAAACTCAATATACCTTTTTTTTTATGGTTGCTCATTATACTTTTATTATATAAGCAAGCTGATAGAATTTCACACTATGTAAAAGTAAAATTTGGATAAGGAAGTCCTTCAAAAGTCCCTACTGATGAAGCAATCAGCTCTACTAATTGCCCGATTGGGCTGCAAGCACATGAGCATTGGTACTGAGACGAAGGGACTCACTCCGAACAGAGAGAATGAAGCGCTACTACAAATATCTAACAGGCATAAATGAGAATGAAGAACGTAATGTAACTTGTCCGGAACACTAAGTTCACATTAAACACCAAAGTACAAAAATAATGTTAAGGAACTTGTACCTCTGTGGAAATGGAAGATGATGCTTGTTGCACTAGAGGGACCGAACTGCCATACGAAAGAAGATGCAAATACTTGTCAAACAAAGAGAAACTCTTATGTTTGAAGCTCTTCTGGAGGCAAAATGCAGCATAATGGAAATTCATGGAGTAGCAAAGTAATAGATAGCTGTAAGCTATTTGCATATACAGACGTGATGGAAGCCTATATGCTTCATTTTAAGAACTCTGCATCTCTCTTGCTAACACAGACTCAATATGCAGATATGTTTTACCAGGACATGAGACTGTGAATGACTACACGAAACAACTACTCCTAACTCCCGGCTCCCGCACCTTTTTGTATGCAGTCATGCAACAATCAATCAAAATGAAAAGAACAGCCACCACAACATGAAACTCCGCTAATGTAGAGAACAAAAGAGGAGAAAAGCTTTTGGATGATGCCTATTTCAGTAGTAATCAAAATGTGATCAGCTTCCAAGTAGTGGTGTGTCCAACCTCAACTGAGTAAAGTGAAAGGACAAGGGTATGATTCATGCAGCTTGTGGCTGGCATAAGCTATCCAAAGTAAACATTAAGCGAGTTAAACAACACGTGGGAAACTTACCTTTGAGGACAAGAAATCTTATAATTGTGAACAGGAAGGGCATCTATCTCTTCCTCGCTCATTGATGTGGTGGGAACAACATCAGAATCCAGTACCCTCAAAGTTTCATAATCTGCCAACAGAACCGTAGATAGTAAAAACACAACCATACATTCACTAAAACTCCTGAGTCTGATCACACAGCCAGCCAAGAGCCTAAGAGCCAATCCATCAAAAATCATAATCAAGATACCCTGGCACTCCTTTTAAAAATAAAACCCCTCACCCAGGTCATCAAATTCTCTATCAAGTACAGCAAGCTGGAGTCTGAGGCCCTGTAGACGCCCCCTGTTTGCAAGAGCTATCGACGGTGGCATATGCAACCGTAATTCGGTATGGCCAAGTAGCCCACTGGCGATGGCCGCATGAGCTTGCGCTTGAGCTTGGAGTTGTTGACAAGTTGCATACATCCTCAGGATTGTGGCCATCAAAAATACCCCAAGCACCAGCCATAGCTGCAACCCAACACCCGCAAATTACAACACATCGAAAATCGTCAAGAACCAAACAGAAAAGGGGGTAAGTTAAGAAATTGTGAAGAGGCAACGAGGGAGGAAATCACCAGAAAATTGGGAGGCATTTGGTGTGAGTTCAATATCATGAACAACAACAGAACTGCATGAATCCAATTTGACAAATTATTCATTAGGAAGATGGAATGCAGTCAAATCATAAAGAGATGGACTTTGTTTCCCCCCAACACGAAGAACAAAATTATACCTGTGACGAGGAATACAAGCGAGTTGGAATTAACCGGCCGAATCGGATGAACTCGCTGCAACAGACAATCCGGAGGTGAAATCAATTCAAAGCAGCAACCGGAAATGATCAGGAAACAGAAGAGAAGAGAAATCTCACCACTGCTCGGCGCTCAGGGACGAATCCAGGAAACCCATTTTCTAAATCCAATTCACCTCTGCTCCCGCGGAAAACAAAACTCATTTTTCTTCTTCCTCCTCTATTCTGATTTCTTCCTCTTTCTGGTTATTGTCCGATTATTCTCCGGCGACGGTGCGTTAAATTGACCCCACTGCCAAATTGCGACCGGAAAACCACAGCCTCAAAATCAAAGCAACAGAAACACGATAAGGGAAGGGAGAAGATAACGGAAAACTTACGCTGTGCGCGGAGGATGAAAGGGCGCCGGATCTGGAGGCGAAAAAGCGATGGATGGCCGAATCGGTTGATCAAAATCTTCAATTCATGGTGGTTGGGGCAATAGCGATGACGGAAATTTGGCGTCCGAGGAGACGGAAGAACGAGTTGGACGGAGCGATTTGACTCGGACGCGTCGGGCTTGGCATATTGGTTCCTCTTTTTTTAATTGTATAATAATATTTTTACCTTTTTCTGCGGTTTTTTTTTTCTGGTTTTATTTTTTAACCTCACAGACGCTTTCGTCGTGAGGTCGCCGGAGAAGTGAGAGTAGTTAGATGGATTAGTCTCCTTATTGCAACTATATTAACATGGTACTTTTCCGGTGGGAGACTCTTCTTTTATAACTGACATGAGAAACAATGTCGATAGCCATCCGACGAACCCACTTCCATTGATTCGTAGACTAACTTTAGCAAATCCTTCGAAAGCACAACCAGCCACACAAAAAATAACACATTTGTTTTGGTCAAGAAGAAGAGGATCGAGAGCAGCAATGATAAAACTATCTTTGCAAGTCTAGAAATTAGTTGTGGGTGTATGAGACTAGGGCTACGAATTCAGTCCCTTTTTTTCTTCTAATCGAAATCAGACCGTATAAACCAGTTTCGTTGTATTTATATCGTATAAACTTAGTTTTCTTTTTACCAGCTATGATCAACCACTACGTCTTGCTCGTTACTCTCCGCCCTACTTTCACTGCAAAGGAGATAAAATTTTATTATTATTTATATTTTTATGTATTTTTAGTTATTAGTTCGATATCTTAGGAAGAAAATTGTGTCTTTTCGATATTTGGGTTAAAATCAGACCGAACCATTTTCAATCCAACCCGCTTATGGTTCAAATCGTTTCAAATCCAATCCAATCCAATTTCTTGTTGTAAATTGACACAATTCGCATATGAAAAACAGGGTGATACTGGTCTAGTTAAACCATATATCGTTTTCCATTCCTATATGAGACTATAAATATGTTGGAGAAATGGTCGATCAACCGATGGAGGAAAAATATTTGCCGGAGAGGCAAAAGCAGCCTGTGTTTGTTATTATTGATTTCATGTTATATGCAAATTCGGAAGAGAGCAAGATACTCTGTTCTTTCCATCTGTGAGTAGGAGTTGAGATATACCCCTGTCTGTTTCTTTGAGAGGAGGGGCTGAATGTGAGAGATTAAGTCTTTACAGTTTACTTTCAAATATCCCCGACGGTTGGGTTTCTTATGGACCTTGCAGGTTAGCATGGAATCACAAGGCACATTCTGATTTCACAGTTTGTGCCATGTACAAAACCATTGTTGCAGAGAAGTGTCAATAATAGAGAACGCTATCGAACGAACACAGAGATTTAACATGGTATCCCTGACTAGCAAGACTAATCCACGAGAGAGGCAGTGCTCTCCAAAGAGGTTTCACTATCTTCAAAACTCGTTACAGAGGAATAGCCGAGCTTGGCTATTTATATGTGAATTAAACATTAAACCTAATTATCAGACGCTAAACTGGCTATTTACAAAAAGGTACTCTAAAATATAAATCAACACCCTCCCTCAAATTGATGTGCGATTTGCAACATCAATTTGGAAGATAAGTACCAATGTCTACTTGAAGCAACTGCCTTAGTAAACAAGTCTGCCATCTGATCTTCAGTAGAGAGATAGCCAATCTGTATTACGCCTTCCGCCACCAGTTGTCTGATGTAGTGAACATGCACCTCAATGTGCTTTATCCTCTCATGCAACACCGAATTAATAGCAATCTGGATTGCACTAGTGTTATCCCCATATATCTTCATTGGGACTCGACACACAACACTCAATTCTCCAAGTAACTGATGAAGACATACCATCTCAGAACTCACCTCTGACATCGACCTATACTCTGCCTCAGTGGATGACTTTGAAACTCTATCCTGCTTTCTGCAACGCCATGACACAAAGGACTGACCAACCCGAATACACCAACCTGAAGTTGATTGACGAGTATCAACACAACCATGATAATCTGCATCAGCAAACGCTTCCACTATAGGTTCTCCTGTTGCAGGAAACAACAACCCAACATCCTGAGTCTTCGCAATAGTTGATGAACCACCGCCAGATGAAGGTTAGTCGCGATGCCCATAAACTGGCTCACCACTTGAACCGCATAGGAGATGTCCAGTCTCTTATGAGTCAGGTAAATTAGGCTGCCAACCAGACTGCGATACAATGACTGATCTGCTATCAACTCTCCCCCATCTCAGCTCAGCTTCAGATTTTGTTCCATAGGAGTAGAGCATGGAACACAGTATGTGAACTGAGCTGACTCCAAGATATCCAAAATATACTTCCGTTAATTCACAAACAAACCATGAGGCGGCCGATTGACCTCAAGACCCAGGAAATAAGACACCTCACCCAATTCCTTCAAATTGAACGCCTGTCGCAAAGCCTGCGTAACATCACCAATCCCTCCCTTATCACTTCCGGTAATAATCATATCATCCACATAAATCAATAGAAAAACAATCCCATCAACCGTTTCACGTGTGAAAAGAGAAGGATCATTCTGACTTTAAGAAAACCCAGCCTGAATAATCGTACCAAGAAACTTATCAAACCATGCCCGAGGTGCCTGCTTTAACCCATACAGAGATCGAACCAACTTACAGACCATAGTAGAATCACCCTTCTCATATCCCGGTGGTCGCTCCATATAAATGGTCTCCTTTAAATCGCCGTGAAGGAAGGCGTTCTTCACATCGAGTTGAAGCATAGACCAGCCTCGCATCGCCGCTACAGCAAACACGCACCTAACCGTCTGCATTTTAACCACTGATGCAAAGGTCTCATCGTAGTCAATGCCGTATTCCTGTTTGAAACCCTGCGCGACCACCCGAGATTTAAACCGTTCAACAGTTCCATCGGGGTTCATCTTCACATTATATACCCATCTACTGCCGATAACTGACATCCAATCTTCCCGCGACACAAGCTCCCATGTGCGGTTTTATTCCAGTGCATCCATCTCAACTTTCATCGAAGCAATCCACCTAGGATCCTTGGCATCTTCTGAGTAACGATTAGGAATGACTAGGGGCTCAACTGCAAACCCAACAAAGTCCTGCATACGAATCGCTGGTTTTCCTAGCGTCGCACGATTTGATCGTCGCAAGGGAATCTGGACATGGACTGGCGAATTAACATTACCAACGGCTAACGATGCTTCTGACTCACTACCCAAAGAGGCGCTCGATGAGGCCGGATCCGAACTGCTTGACGAAGAACTCGAGGATGATGAATTTGGTCCAGGGGACTCGAAGCCACTAGAGGAGCCTTCACTGGACAAGTTGGTGGTCGACGTGTCGTCAGGGGAAGATGGTCCACTATCCTCGTTGGACCCAAATGAAATGGCTGCTTCTTGTGGTAGAGGAAGAGAGGGAATAGTATCAAATTCTGGCAGGGAAGTGAGAAACTCAAGAGTAGCAGCAGAACTTGCTTCTGCATGAGAAGCACAATAATACATCTCCTTTTCCATGAACTTGACGTGATGAGCGATGCGCATACGACGACCAACCGGATCATAGCACATCTAACCCTTGTGCTTGTCACTGTATCCAACAAACACACTACGAACCACTTTGGGAGCCAACTTATGAAGTTCCTTCCGTTGTAGCAACACAAAACACGTACACCCGAAAACCCGGAGAAACGAGTAATCTGGAGACTTCGAGTATAATAGATGATATGGAGATTTTCGCCCTAACACTGGTGTAATTTGACGGTTAATCAAATACACTATAGTATGCACGGCCTCAACCCAAAAACCAATAGGAACGCGAAAGTGGAAAAGAATCGCACGCGTGAGCTCCAATACATGACGTTTCTTACGTTCCACTACTCCGTTCTGCTGTGAAACGCCAGGACAAGATTGTTGCGGCAAAATACCTTCAGACTTGAAGATCTTGACAAGCTCTTTGGATGAAAACTCCCCTCCCGGATCCGACCTGAGAACCTTGATCAATTTACCCAACTGCGTCTTGATCATTTGAATATACTCTCGAGCTAGAGAGGTCAACTCGAACTTCTGTTTCAAGAAATATACCCAAGTAAACCGAGTTCTGTGATCAATGAACAAAGCAAAATACATGTACCCCAATCGCGAGAGAACAGAAGATGGCCCCCAGAGATCGGTGTGAATCAAATCAAAAGGTGCCTTATAAGTTGTGTCACTAGGCGAGAATGAAGTCTGCGAGGCCTTTGCCTCAATACAACTAACACATTCAGATAACCCATCAAGCTTCAACAAATTCAATTTATCCGGTAACAAATTCTGTTTAAACATAACCTTCAACCTCTCAGAATGAGGATGACCAAGCTGACTGTGCCATAAATCCCACACAGAATTATCCAAAACATTTGAATCAACAATTGCAAAACCACTACTATCCTTGGAACCCAAAGAATCCACAACACTAACAGGCCCCCTCAAACGAAAGCCACTCACAAGGGCTTGACGTTTGCACGGGTCTAAAGACAAGAATACCATGTGCTTAACAAATGGGGTTCACCAGGAATCGAACACAAGACCTCTCGGTCACAGAAGGCTCTGATACCATGTCAATAATTGAGAACGCTATCGAACGAACACAGAGATTTAACGTGGTATCCTTGACTAGCAGGACTAATCCACGGGAGAGGCGGTGCTCTCCAAAGAGGTTTCACTATCTTCAAAACTCGTTACAGAGGAATAGCCGAGCTTGGCTATTTATATGGGAATTAAACACTAAACCTAATTATCATACACTAAACTGGCTATTTACAGAAAGGTACTCTAAAATATAAATCAACAAGAAGTTCCCTGGAGACCAAGACTTTCCATTTAAGTTTGTTTGGAGAGCAAAAGTGCCTCCCAAGATTCAGAGCTTTATTTGGTTGGTGTTTCAAAACAAGATATTGACCCACGATAACCTAATGAGAAGTGGATGGAAGCTGGCCAGCAGATGTGCAATGTGCGAGGACGATGCTGAATCAGTGGAGCATATGTTTATGAAATGTAACTACAGCAAAAAGAATATGGTCTCTTTTTGTGAAGGTTTTTAAGATTCAAGTGCCACTTCGAGGTGGTGTAAAAGCACTTATTCAGTGCTGGCCCTGCAAGGAACCATCTACATGGCTTGAATGTCTCAGCCAATGCCTCATTCATGCTTACTGTTTGGAGGTTTGGCGTGAGAGGAACACCAGAATCTTCGAGGAGAAAAGGAAGCCATGGCAGGTCATTTTTCACAAAGTTGGACGCAACCTTCTTCATTGGATCTCATCAGCAAGAACCA